GAGAATATTGAAAAATAACGTTTCAATAACGATAGCAAAACGCTCTTACAATATATTTTTGTTTGCTGGGATGGGGTAAAATACTAGAAAATATACAACTTTGTGCTCTGTTAAATATCAAATGTTGTTGTGTCTGTATTTCAATTTGTACCAGACCAAATAAGGCCCTTGGGGTAAGATGCCCCTAGTCTAATATGTATATAGTAGGCTTACCACAATAATGTATGCTCTATACATACTTTATGATGCTTACATTGCAGAGGCATTAAAACAACCATTCTTGTACATATAATTGATTACTTTTTGATTTGATCTAATGCACTGAAATGTGGAAAGGACAATAATATATTTAGCTGCTGTTTAGCTCCTTACTAGCTTTGATTGAAGTAAACATTGTTATACAGCATAAAGTTATTACTATTTTTAAATCCATCAATCGTTGATGCAGCCACTGGTTATAGCCACACCAAATTTTAAGGACAGCCAAAGTTCTAAACTGACAATTACAGCTATATTATCAGTTTGACCTAGATTTCTTTAATTAATTATTATTAATATCATATATATATTGTTTTTCTTTCTTGTCTTTTTTTTTTGACACCTAAGACAGATATAACTTTCCTATGGTTTTGTTTTGGTAGGCCCTCATGCTAATTTGTAGACAGCGCCCCCGTGTGGTCGAGGAAAGCAGCTAAACTGCAGTTCAAATTTGAAGTGAACCAAATCATTAGTATATTCTTGGATATACTAAAGTATGCAGGGTCGACATTCGTAAAAATGTTTACAATGAATGAACAGGCTATATCTTACCATTTGCCAAGAGAGAACACTGCTCACTGTTGTCACAAAAGTATTTGGAGAACAGAACAGAAATTGTGTAACTTTACTTTGCACATGAAGTACTACTTACCATATTCTTATCTGGAGTGACAGGGTTTACAGTCACATTATCTTCGGCTTTTGAGGATTCTGGTTCTCTCATTGTATCCAAACTCTCATACACATTCTTGTCTTTATTCATGGGGCTCCAGACGTCACCCCAGCCAGCTCTATTGAGCATCTGAATATCTTGATCCAGGGCCTTTGTGTCCACCCGAGGCCTTTCTGTTGCATTTACGGTTGATTTGATCTCCAGTTCTGGGGATTGAGGTGTGTTGACTGTATGGAGAAGCTTCAGTAAGATAGAGGGTGGTGTTTCCCCATTAGTTGGGGAAGCTGGCTTGGAAGACTTTTCTTGATCTGTGTGTTCAGGCACAGGACCGGCCTCTGCTTCAGTCTTTATGGGATCTGGATCCAAACCCTTCAGTTCAAAGAATTCCTTTGGAATAATATATGTTGATATTCTATGACCGTCTTTCTCCGTGTCTCGTTTTATAGAGGCTGGGACTCGAAGCGTGACCTCAGCGGGCTCAATGATGGTGGGAAGACTATCAGGAGCTGTCTCGGAGTTAGACTTGAGGGATTCACTTCCACTAAACTCTACAGAAGGGTCCAGTGAAGTTTGGTTGGTCTCAGGTAGGAGTTCGGTCACATAGGTTGCTGGGATGAAAAAAGGCTTGTCAGTCCCATCCCTCCTAACGTGCCACCAGGTTTCATTGGTCTTGGCTACTAGGATGTAGTGCTCGTTGGGTTTGATGGACACCTCTCTGCCGTCTCGAGCAGTGTATTTGTATTCATAATTCACCAGAACCTGCTGTGAAAGTGACATAGTGGCCCACTTCTGCTGATCCCAAACCTGTTATGTGGCTGGTGTTCAGTGCAAACGGGAAATCAGGGTTCGTATACAGTCATCATGAGATCTGAAGATAAAGGAGAAAAAAAACTATAGGTAATTTGTTTGAAATAACTCCAATCTAAAGTCCAGACAAAAAAAAAACAAAAGTACAGACTTACTATAGGGATAAGAATATTAAAGAATACAAAATACACACACACACACACACATATATATACATATATAACAGAATTAAAAAAAACTAATATTTACATACAGGCGAAAGGGATAAGAATATAAAAGAAAACAAATACAAAAACAAATCAAAACATAAAGAGACTCAGGGTGCTCTTTTAGCTTATGCCACTAAGTGACCACCTAGCAACTACCCAAAACACCCTAGTAACAACTCCGGATACATTAGCAACCACATATCAATGCCCTAGCAACCACCCACAACATCCTAGCATCAAGAAAATGTAACATTCTAGTTTGAGATTATTATTAGCCATAGATAATATGTATATGTACTGTATATTAAGTCAGTGCGTCACTAATTAGTAGTGCACATTTAGAATAAAAAAGCAAGAAAATAAGGGCTCTTTCGGAGTATTCAACCTGAAATCTACTTATTTATATTTATAAGAAGTCTATGGTAAAATATATTGTTTATTGGTGTACAAATGTGGGGTGGGACAATCATATTCACAACACAAAATATTTGTGAAACAGAGGAATGCAGACAAACCAGAGGAACCACAGGTACGTCGGAGAAAGACACACACACTATATATATATATATATATATATATATATATATATTTTTTTTTTAAGATATTTACCTTTAAGGCAGGAAGTTACATTTTGTTTGTGACTTGTAGTGCAGAGCAAATGAGAAACTACTACACCGTGTTGTACTATAAATTAGTGTATTACTTTAAATTATGCTTTTAAAGTAGTTTTCAAAGTAGTTTAACACTAGTGGCAATCAGATATGCTAAAAGCATGTAAATATAGAGCGACAGATGGCTCTACTGCATAATAGTGGCTACAGGAAGTGAGTGTATTTTGCAGAGGAACGTTGCACTAACCCCAAACCTACACAGAAGAGACGACACCAAAATAGGGGAAACATCAACTGGTAAAACAGGAAAACATGCATCATGCTACGAGCAAACTGCAATCTCGGTTTCATTGAGGTTGTTGCAAAATACTAATTACTTAATATGTAAAGCAGACCATTGGATGTTTCTGAGATAACTGATTGATTAATAAATACTGCCACACCAGCAGCTGCTGACAAAGACGTGAATGAGTGTGTGTTTTAAGTACAGCCATCATCTGCTGTGCCTGCATGGAATGAACTGCAGTCAGTTAACGCCTCTAATGTCAAGAAAAAATGTGTCCGAACCACTCCTGATCACATTCAGGAGTCTTCACTGCATCCAGCAACTGGTTTGACAGTGTACTCAAGACGGCCGAACAATGAATTATTCCATTCAAAACCTACATGTCTCACAATATATTATATAATGTAAATAAATAAATGATGTGTGTGTACATAACATGTACAGGACAGAGTCAATATATACACATCTACATTGTTAAAAGTGATTTAAAAAAAACATTTTTTTACAAGAAAACACCATTTCAGTCTTTCTACTTTAAAATGTCATGTTTAATTCAGTGTGCTACTTGCTGATTTTTTATTTTCTAACAATTTCTCAGTGAAAATGGTTTCTACACCATTTTCAGTGTATACACGCAGTATAAATTATGTATCTCACACACACAAGCCATAAAAACAATGACATATTAGTATACTTTTAATGATATGAACCTTTTGCTAATGTCTTAATCTTTTTAAATCTTAATTTTTATTTGATAACTTTAAAAACTAAAAGCAAAACAGCATAAAAAAAAAGCAAAGCAGCATAAATCGACATAAAACACATCAAAACAAAAAGTAAAGCAAAGAAAAGTAAAACAAAAAACAGCCATAAAACAAAAAGAAAAGAAAAACAAAAAGCAGCAAAGCAATATAAAATAAAACAAAGCAAAAAACAAACAAAAAAACATGGTTGTATCAGTATATATATATATAACAAACAAAAAAACATGGTAAATGCCCTTTTCTTTAGTCATTATGTTGCTGGAAGTCTCATTTGCCAGTGTTATGATCAGTTCCTGATTACTGCAGCAACATACAGATAGCAAAAAAAAAAAAACGAAATATAACTTTATGAACAACTGTTGACAGTTGTTCATAACAAACCAATAATACATGCACATCTGGACAAAGTGTGGCACAGATTCTAAGCGCAGCGATTTAAACAGTGAGATGAACTTACCATCAGAGAACAGAATAACCCCTCGACTCCCTTCTTTTCTCTGAGCACTGGGAATAATTCACTTCAGTAACAAACTAGCATCTCTGTTTGTTTCTGGTTGAGTCGTAATTAAAATCTAAAGATGCAACTAGAAAAAGAGCAATAAAGTAAACACTTAAATGTGTATTTTGGATATTTTCTTTACACTAATCTGAAAGAAGACACGTTATGGAATTAAAATTGAACAGTGCATTTAAAATAAAAAAATATGCCTCTAATGTCTTGCAAAAAGTAAAAATATATCATTCAAATCTGATCCAGTGTTCAGTTGTTACACTGACTGGTTGCGCTCAGTTCATTCCTACATGCTCACAAACTATCATACTTTTAGACAGCAAGAAGTTTGTTTGGTGCATTCAAAAGACGGACAGAAATAAACACAGACAGAAAGAGTGCCAGGAGGTAAGAAAACAGGAAGAACCAGTCAGAGACAAACACTGCGATGTGGTTTGAGAGGAATGACAAGTTCTCTCAAAAATATGCATCCATGCTTTTATAGCTGGTCCGTGATTCTAGGAACCGCTGTTTGTGTTAAGCTCCATTAGCACAAACATACTATTTTAGAATAAATTCAGCAAACACACATTTTAGTGTTGTCTGCACAGTAAATATTGTTGCTTTTATCAATGCTTTGGGTAAAAGCATCTGCTAAATCACTACATGTACATGCATTATGTATGAGACATTTATTTTGAAGAATTATAATATTTTAAAAAGTTAATCAAATGAGGAATATGAATCACTTTTGCTTCTAGATCAGAGGAAAGCTTCAGCATTCATCACTGCAAAAAGCAATCCGCCTGTCAATCCGTGTCAAGACTTTTGCTTAGGTGCCACTGCCTCTAGTGGCTAAACAGGAGATAAGAAAGACAAAAAGTCATGTGGGATTTTCCTTCAACAGGTGATATATTCAACTTGTCATAAAAATATCAGGAAAAACAGCATTGCTAAAAAAAAAAAAGAAAAAACTCAAGAAGAAAAATGTTCTCGCTCCTATTTCAGTTTCCATATAAGACCTTCATATGCAAACCAGAGACATTCATTAAACCAGGACGCTAATATATAAAAAAAGTTCATCCTTTGTATCATCCACAGAGATGAATGTCAGCAATTCAGTTTCTTTGCACATAACTGATTTAGTGACAAACATTAATAATTCACATTGGCTTGTAATAGTTCCATTTTTGGCACAATCAATTTGAGTGATGAAGGATGCTACTATGAAACACGAAAATAAAGGCACAGTATTGTACAAAAATGACCTGTTAAAGGAGGTTGTAAGTGTTGGTACATTTCAGAATTTTAATAACCATCCTCTTATTAAATGCATACGATTCCTGCATATACGACAATTAATATGCAAACTCGCAATGCTTCATTTAAAACTTGGCACGTGACATTCAGATGTAAAAATAGTACTATAAAAACAAGAGTTATAAGATCCTTGGCATTTAAGTGCCTTAAGTTTCATAAATACGACTTCCTTGGCTTGACAATCAATAATGACTACGCAAAAAAAAATTAATTAAGAGAACTAAGACTTATGATTCTGAACACTAACCTGCAGAATAACCATTGCAGAAAAGTGTTTGTTTGGCATTATTGACATTTCATGAAAGAACATACACGGGAGTGCTGATGTGAGTAAATATGTACATATGAATGTGTAAATAAGTGCACTTAAAGTTGAGTTTCAGATGAGTCCAATTAAACGCTTAGTGTGATCAAATGCTTCCAGTTCTGAGAAAATAACTTTTAGATTTGAGTATTATGGCAATATAGTACTAACCCTGGATTTCGAGCTTGGTAGCATGACCGTTTTCTTAGAAACCTGTTTTTAACTAACAGCTAACTCAGTCGTCCAAGTCCCTCTCCATATACTTTTGTATGCGAACGCAGCGTGGACAGACCGGACACTTCGCCTTACAGGAGGAATGAAACACCGTCTTGCAGACGTTACACCTGAGAGACAGAAAACACACATCATCCTCTTGATATTTATCATAATACTGTGCTGCATGTGACTGAATCACATAACTCAATCAGCAATCAGAAACAAATGGTCTAGAGTGAAAGGGGATGTGTGGGGTTTTATGTTTGATGTCTAATGTGTGTTATATAGTAGTACCTGGTGGTGCTGTCAAACTGAAAAGGGAAGATGATGTTGTCGGTGTTGCAGATCTGACATATAAAGCCCCTTTGGGTGCAAAGGTCACAGTTGAGCACGTGCTTGGACCCAAACTGAATCAGAGACCGCAGGTAAGATTCGTAGTGCTCGTCTGCTATCTGTGTGCAAAAATCATAAGTCTGATCACTTAAGAGCACTCTTTTCTTCAACAAGGGTTAGGGGTTTGATCAAATGAGAGATGTGCGATATTCCTATTCTTCATATTCTGTGCAGTGCACCCTCTCAAAAAGGGTACAGAAGTTGTCACTAGTTTTGTACCTTTTCAAAAGGTACACATTACATACTAATATGTATCTATAAGGTACCAATATGCACCCTTTAAGGTACTGCCCCAGTGACTACTTTTGTACCTTTTTTTCCTGAGAGTGCGGTTTGTTCACACCAGTGACAGAAATGAACTTTATGTGGCACTTTTTTTGTTGTTGAAAAAACTAAATATGAAACTAAAAGCACCAGTAGGTGGCGGCAAATGAGTTGAGTGAATCATTCATAAGATTCATTCAAATGGCTGATTCATTTGGTCACTGAATCATTCATTAAACATTCAAAATGTGGATTCATTGTAACAAAGCACTGCTATGGGTTACTAGCTTGCTTGAAGACGCAAAACCGTTCTGCTGTACTTTCATTTGGAAATTTCGTTGACAATATAAAGCAAAAAAATTAATATTGACAACACTGTGTCTAAAATGTAACTCAAAATGTTACCTATTGTTTATTGAACTGTTTTATACAATCAATAGGAGATCTGCAATCATGCTCATATTAGGCAAAATTCGTTAAATCAATAATTATGATATTTTCATAGATAATACGTATCGCACACCCCTAGTTCAAATTCTAAACAAGAAACAGCAACCAATACCTGCTGCAAGTCCAATACACTGTATAGATCACTGTTATCCAGTAAGTATGTCCGCTGCTGAAGTCTGGAAATAAAATACAGATTACTTATATGTTGCAATCATCTGTTAAAGACTTGATGATGTCCCAATTACATGCATCTAACACACACACACAGGTTTGTTTTTATGGTTTATGGGGACTCTCCATAGGCGTAATGGTTTTTATACTGTACAGACCGTATATTCTATTGCCCTACACCAACCCTACCCCTAAACCTACCCCTCACAGGAGACTTTCTGCTATTTCAGATTTTCAATACACTCCATTCTGTGTGATTTATAAGTGTTTTGAAAAGTGGGGACATGGGGTAATGTCCTGAAAAGTCACCTTCTCCTTGTAATACCTATAGACACAGACACAGACACAGACACAGACACAGACACAGACACAGACACAGACACAGACACAGACACAGACACAGACACAGACACAGACACAGACACAGACACAGACACAGACACAGACACAGACACAGACACAGACACAGACACAGACACAGACACAGACACAGACACAGACACAGACACAGACACAGACACAGACACAGACACAGACACAGACACAGACACAGACCTGGGTTGGATTTGTTTGCTTATGTCACTGCGGCAGATGAGGATGTAATCTCCAAGGAAACGAAGCTTCTGTCTCAGGCTCTGCACTTCAGTCATGATGTTAGTGTGATCAAACAGGTCAGGATTCAAAAGGTCCAGCCTCAGGAGCGGCTCGTGCTCAATCTGTGTCAGCAACTTAAAGGCTTGTTTGGAGACCTGAACACACAGACAAGCACACACAGCTGAATGACATAAACACATTTAAACAATTCAGAAATTTGGGTTTGGAAAGATTTTGCACTTATGTGATGAAAAATACAGTAAAAACTGTAATATTATTACAATTTAAAATAACTGTTTTCTATTTGAATGGATTTTAAAATGTAATTTATTCCTGTGAATTTTTAGCATCATTCCTCCAGTCTTCAGTGTCACATGATCTTCAGAAATCATTCTAATATGCTGATTTACTGCTCAAGAAACATTTCTTATTATTATCAATGTTCAAGACATTTGAGCTGCTTGTTTTTGTGGAAACTGGAAAAAGAACAGCATTCAATTGAAATTTTTGTAACATTATCAATGTCTTAGCTGTCACTTTTGATCAATTTAATGCACCTTGCTGAATAAAAGTAAGGTAGTTGTTATGTTTATGTATGGGGTCGGATTAAGGGATCTAAAATATGATCTTGCAGAGCAAGGTATTAATATATGTACTTTATAAGTACTAACAAACAGCCAATATGATATGTGTGACCCAGGACCACAAAACCAGTCAAAAGGGTCAATTTTTTTAAATTGAGATTTATACATCATCTGAATAAATAAGCTTTCCATTGATGCGTGGTTTGTTAAGATAGGACAATATTTGGCTGAGATACAATTATTTGAAAATCTGGAATCTGAGGGTACAAAAAAATCTTCATATTGAGAAAATCGCCTTTAAAGTTGTCCAAATGAAGTTCGTAGCAATGCATATTACTAATCAAAAATGAAGTTAATATATTTACGGTAGGAAATTTACAAAATATCTTCATGGAACATGATCTTTACTTAATATCCTAATGATTTTTGGCATAAAAGAAAAATCTATAATTTTGACCCATGCAATGTATTTTTGGCTATTGCTACAAATATACCCCAGCGACTTAACACTGCTTTTGTGCTCCAGGCTCACATATATGTTAATAAGAAACTAGTTAATAGTGAGAACTGGTCCTTAAAATAAAGTGTGACCACACACACACACACACACACACACAATTATAGTATTAAGATAATACTTTAATGAATATATCAGCACAACAGGTAATGAATTTTATCAAGTGACAGCTCTACTCTTTAGAATTTATTTTTTTAAAGAATACGTAACTGATTTGTATTTATATATAAAATTATGACAATAAAAACAAGTTTTAAAAAAATAAAAAAAAAACTTCAAGCATTAAATGAAGTAAAATGGAAAGTGAATACCACTTACATTAATTTTAGTCCATAAATAAAATAAAGTGAATTCAGCAGAGCTCACCTCGTGCATTGTTAGGTCCCAGTTGTGCAGCATGCGGGAGGGGATGATGATTGCGTCTCCCTGATGGCAGCTCTCACAGTAGTACTGACCTGAGAACTCACAGAGTCTGGCTCTCCCCAGAGACATACCGATCTGACGAGAGCAACCTGCGTACACATTTACAACGGCTTCTACTTAGTGCCAGAGAGCACGGGTACAGAGAAAAACACTTACACACGGACACAAGACCACAGCACTTCCTCAGTCTCACAAACGCAGGCATGCAAAGGAAATAAACATGTGGCTGATGCCTCGCTTCTGGGGCCGATGCAAAGTGAAGATAAGACAATTCCAGTTTAGAACACAAATACATAGTTTCTGTCAAATATTTATATAGTAGGTAAAAAATTGATGATTCAAGAAAATGTCAGTAGTGGTGTAACCATCAAGCAAAAGCACATTTTTTCCCATACATTTTAACTTAATGATTTACAAAAAAATAAAAATACATAAAAGTAAGCAATGATTAAAGAAACATGTTTAAATAATTGTTTACTCATTATTATCATATTAATTATTATTAGTTATTTATATTTAATTATTATTGACATTTGAAAACCTAAAGAAACCTTGTCATATCATAAAAGATTGAAATATCTGATTCATACACTACAGTTGAAAAGATTTTACTTTAAAAAAAAGAAAAAGAAAAAAAAGAATGCTTTCATTCAGCAAGGAGGCATTAAATTGATAAAAACGTGACCGTAAAGACATTTAGAATGTTATCAAGGATTTATATTTCAAATAAATGCTCTACTTTTGTATAACTTTCAATTCATCAAAAAATCTAGCCTGAAAAAAAAAATGTCACGTATCCACAAAAAATTAAGCTAATTAAAAAAAAATTAAAAATGTTTTTAACATTGATGATAATATGAAAGTTTTCTTGAGCACCAAATCAGCATTTTAGAATGATTTCTGCTTTTTTATTTTAATAAAAAAAAATCATAGAAATACTAATGATTAATACAACTGCTGAACTGTTTTTAATAAATAATAATAATAAATATAGATTATATCATCACTAAATAAAGTTGAACAGTTACACCCCTTTGACACTTTTTTTTACCGAAAATATCTCCACTGCTGAATTCAAATGAATTCAGATATTGAAAACAAGAGCTTATTAAAAGTCATTGTCTATATGTTGTTATGTCTATATCATTGTCTAAATTTAATTTGAAATAACTTACAGATCTATACAAAAAATACCATGCCAACATCTCGTACCTGCACATTTGTAGTTTTGTGCATCTAGTCCTCTTTCATTTGGGACAGTAGACAAGTGACACAGCAACACCCCATCTCCCTTCAGTCTGTGTTGGACCAGTTTGTGTATCTTCCCCGCGTAACCACCGGGGGGCGATGAGACGCCCTGAAGCGCTCCATCATCCTCCGTCTCCAGATACGAGTCGAGCGCTCCTCTGATCAGACTCCTCCATCCTCGCGCTTCCTCTCCGCTCTCCGCCCTCAACGTCAGAGTGTCCTGCGCAGTCAGAACCTTAAAAAACGCAGGACTTCCTAAAGAAACATCAGGAACCACATCCCTGATGCTCCCAATGGAGTATGAGAAGAGGGGCGTCTTGGAGTCCCCTTGGACCCGGTACCCCCTGAGAGCCTCCAAGGAGAGAGAAAGTAAAACAGACCGCCAACCCTTCTCCTCAAAGTTCTGATAGACCACCGCTTCCTTTATGGCATCTGGCTCTGGGTCCTTATGACGGATCCAATCTAACTGTGGAGGATCTGGAAGTTCTGAGATGGTGTGTTCGGGGCTTGAGGGTGTCGGTGAGGGGACGTCCTGGTCGTTGGACGTGTGTAGCACCTCCCACTGTTCGTCTCTCATTGTGGGCCGTAGTTTGCTGATGGCCTCCACGATGCGATCCACCCAGTCCTCTGCCTCTCCTTGAGACGGCGCGCGCAGGTAGATTCTTTTGCCGGGGAAGGAGAGCCGGAATCGGCCCTCGTTACTGGAGGACAGGTGGACATCTTCGCAGCGCAGCAGGGACAGGTTTTCATAGCAGATGCGCTCCTCTGCATTGATGTAAAGCCGCAGTTCAAATGGAGAGAGCTCGCAGTAATAATCCCGCCACATGCCCACCGCACTGCGGCGCTCCAGCTGACCCAGCTTCAGCAGACCCCTGAACGGGTTAGGAAGACCTGAAAGAGAGAAAGTGAAAGACCATGTTTTACACACATCCAACAGCTCTACTCTTCATCAAACATTTGTGTTTTTAATCAAATTGCTGTATTATAAACTTGAGGTTGAGTGTATGAGTATAAAAAAAAAAAAGCAAAAAAAATTATACATTACAAAGGATTGAAATAATGTATGTATGTATATATATATGCACATTACATGTATATTTTAATTTACATTACTGACCTAAAAATTAGAGTTATGAGAGTCTGGTTACAGTTTTTTTTTATTAATTAATGATAAATACAACTGCTTAGTTTTTTTTTTTTTTTTTAAATACAAAAATACAATAAAATAAAACTACAAAAAAAAAAAAGTTTGAAAAACGTCCCATTGTCCATTCAATGGGGAACTAGGGTTATTGTTAATTAAAAATAAAATTATATATGTGTTTTTATTTATTTACTGAAAATAATCCTGATTCCCAGTTGACTTCCATTGTAGTAAAAACAACAACTAAATCGGAATAAATTAAACCCAATAAATAAATATTAATAAATACTATATTTAAAAATAAATATTTTTTTACATACCATATTTAAAAAATAATAATAAAAAACTAAAGACTAGCTAAAAACTAAACTACACCCAATAAAAACAAAACCACAAAATTATCTTCAGCTGAAATGAAAGAGAAAACAAAATATAAAAATTAATCTAATTCAAAATATTAACACAAACTATAATAGTATATCAATGATACAAAAATGACATGCTGCTCAGAAAGCCATACAGGTTTGGAATTATCATTTTTTGGTGAACCATCCTTTTTTTTTAAAGAACAAACAAGGTTAAGCATTGAAGGTTTAAAAGCAGTAATGTTAAAATCATATTTTAAGCATACAAAATATTGTATTAAACCGTAAAGTTGTCCAAATTGCTGTTTAATGTTCTAGGCAGACAAACTTGTTCTTCTGTGGTAACCAACATCAAATGCCACAGATGCTGTAGATAGAGCTTAGGCTGTACTGAACCCGGAACATTTCGGTAATAAGTGAGAAAGCAGTGAAAACAGTAAAGAAACTAAGCGGGACAGAGATGGTAAAGTTATCATCTTATAAACGTTTGCCGTCTACAGGCTTCTGACTGCAGATGACTTTCATTCTGAGCAACCTTATGAAAGTGCCCGAGGCCTTCTTCAGTTTGAGATGGAACTCTCTGGTTAAAATCCCAATCATACTTGGGATCAAACCTCAAAGCTCAGTGCATGGGACAACACTTAAGACACTTTCAACCACTGAAAGCCTTTTTATAGCTATGAAAATTAAATCTAGCAGTTAAGTACTGTGTGTGAAACCAAGCAAAGGGAAGTATAAACCTGTCTGCTAGATTTTTAAGGACATTGTTCTGCAAGAAGGAAGTTGTTAAAAATACAGAAAAATTGAATCACAGTTAACACATTAAAGCCAATAAAAATTGACTGACCACTACATTTCCACTACTTTGCAGCTCAGGGCTTGGTGAGTAAAGTCTTCCAGCAGTTACTAACCAAGAATCAGACCTAAGGAAATTCCTGTCTAGTGTCCATCTTACCGTTGTGTCTCCGGTGCACTACACTAGGTGGTGGCTGGACGGTGTCTGGTTCAGAGGTAGGCATCACCTGTCCGTTCATCTGCGCAATGTCAATGACTGCATACGCTTCAGAACTGCCCATTTCTTCTGGCTTGTAGAAGTCATCCTCTGATATCCAAGATGTGGATTTCTGAGACACAAAAAGGTGCGTTTGAGCAGATTCCAAGATGCTAGAGACTGTTAGGCCCATTGTACATGTGCTGAGCATCCCTCCTCAGTGCCAAATAGGGCTGAGTAATGATACCGACTTCAATTTGAGAGATATATATATATATATATATATATATATATATATATATATATATATATATATATATATATATATATATATATATATATATTTGTGTTACCTGACCTTGATGACGTGTATCTTCAGCACAGTTTGCAGTGCAGGCTGCAATATTAACAATATTACCCTTTTTTGTCTCTTATGCACATTTGACAGTAGCTATTAGGACCTTGAGTAAGGATGCAGATGTAACTTTATGTTCATTATCAAAAACAGTAACATCTGTAAAAATTGTAATAACCACATTTTTATATGGTTAAGTGTAATTATTCTGAGTGTTTGAGTTTTATTAAAATTAACTATGGGTCTTCCATAGTAGCATACATTTAGACCATGACAATCACAGTTTAAACCACAATACCGTGGTAAAAATGTAGCTATATGGTTTCTATGTATTTATATGAAAAACAGTAGTCTAAATACATTAAGTATAAATGCACAAACGCTACAGCTTAACTGTAATTATATTCCATTACTCCTTTAATACATTTAATACATCCCACATTTCTGCCATGGTGCAGTTAGTGTTACTACAGTAAATCCATGGTAAATGATGGAAATGTACAGAAAGATCGATCTTGGGATTTAAAAAAAATTTCGTTATCGGTTCATCCAAATGATTAATCTATATTATTAACACAGTATGTGTGCGAATGTATTCCAAATAGTTTTGTGATTGAATCACTAATATTATCGATATATTTTGAAATACCAATATCAAAATTCATTTTGGTGGACCAATTAAATAAAGCTATGAAGTGATCTATATGCCTAAGAATATGAATATGAATCCCTGAAAACACTCACGCAGGAGGAATACAGAGAGTCTGAGGAGGTTTTCCTGCTGGCGGTACTTGCGGAGCATCTGTATGCAGCATGTTGGGATTGCTCCACTGAACTAGAGGCGGTAGAGGTCTCTGGAGGAAGAGCGTCAGGGTCAGAGGTCTTCTCGGTCCAAGTATCAACAGATGGGTCTCTGTTCACTTTCTCCTGCTCACTTTCTGGAGTCTCAATGACGGTTTTACCTAGAGTCTCAGATTCTTCCGTTGTCCCTTCTTCCGTCTCCTGTATCATCTCAGCTGACATCTTTTCTGAGCTTGCTTTAGATTGCTCTGAGATGTGTGCATCTGATTGGTGTGTGTCCTGTGCAGCTGTTGGAGATGCGTCAGGCATGTGCGTGTTGTTATTAACGGCTTGTGCTGCAGAGTCTGAAGCTGGTATGAACACATCAAAGTCCTCCTTCAAGTCCTGAGTAGAGGAACTGTTCTCTCTGAAAACAAACAAGCATGACTTCAGATTACAACATTTCTGCTAACAAAAATGAGTTAATCAAGTAATTTTGTTTTCACATTTACTTGCGGAAACTTTGTCCTAACTAGAAGTGTCGCAACAAGCTTTTCAAGCATGGAGGCAAGTTTCTGAGCTCAGTGAAAGAAGCCTCAAAACCACAAACCACAGCCAAGAACATACTTGATGTTTATTACAGCTGAATAAAAGGATTTTGAGTGGTAAATAAAATACAAAAGCATACTGACAGCAATTCTTGGACAGCATAATAGAACATTAGGTTGCCATCTAATTTTTTTTACTTTTTGATGCCACAGACCCCCAAATATGATGATTCAGGACCCCTTAAAATATAGAGGCAACGTTATACAGTATACTATAGTTTGAGTTCAGAAAGACTTTGTTTTTTTTTGTTTTTTAAGAAAATACTACTTTTATTTCTCAATGATGCATTAAGTTGATCAAAAGGGACAGTAAAGTCATTTATTATGTCACAAAAGATTTATATTTCAAATAAATGCTGTTATTCTTGCTGTTTCTATTCATCAAAGAAACCTAAAAACATGCATCGTGGTTTCCACAAAAAAATATGAAGCAGCACAACTGTTTTCAACATTAATAATAAGAAGAAATGTTTTTGACCATATTGGAATGATACTGGAGACATTTTAAAATATATTAAAATTACATTTTTATGTCTAAATGCCACTTACATTGCGCAAAATAAAACTATTATAAATATGTACTTTCTATTAAGTACATTTTTTATCCACCATAACTGTATTGTTAGAGGTTTAAATCTGAAGACAAATACAGAAATAAAAATTGTGTATAATAATATTAATAACATTAAGATTTGTAAACAGAAAAAAATAGTAATAAGGTCAAATTTGGTATTTTTTATTATTATTTTTGTTTAATTTATTTTATAAATGATATATTGTTGTTTACGTTTAAACTATTTGTGGCCCCCATTTTGAAAACCCCTAGTGGATGTCAACCTGAATCAGTGTCATTATACAGGACCTTTAGTTTTTTTTACTCACCAACAAATCAATATTGAAAATTCATGGTTCTGCACAAACCTAATTGATTTATCACTTGACACATTGCGTAGAGTCATAAGACTTTAACAGAACAGGCTTTTACTCACTCTGTAGCCGTGATCTTCTGTTGTGCGTTTTGGCTGATCTCCGTGTCACAACTCCAGTGTTCCTTCTCTGGACTTCTGAGCTCCTGACCCTGCAGCAGACTATCAGAGCTCAGACTGGAGGAGAGCTGTGACGATCCGGACGTATCCAGACTCAGGTTTGACGATGTCAGCGGAGTGTTCGGCTCACAGCCCTCGCTCTGCTCTTTCCTCGGCTCCCTCTGGAGCACCTCCTGAGCCCAATCTGAGCCTCCAGATCCTCCGGATGACTGGGAGACCGTATCCCAAGACTCCTTGCGCTTGGGGCCTACAAGGTGCTCGTCGGCAGGCGTTGGGGGACAAAGACCCGCAAGAACCAGCGGTGTGTTGGTCCACTCATTCAGCACAGCTGATTTATAAGAGAGCTGGAAGGTCATCGAGGACAAACCCTGCAGGAGGGTGAGGAGAACCTCACGGTCCTCCGGGTCCAGCAAAAGAGCCCCGGACTGGTAGTAGGAGCTCAAGTTGGACCGTTCGCGAAACAGCGAAGCCAGGTAACACTCCAGAAGCCCATCATTTAGCGCCAGGCGAACCCATGCTCTGCAGCGCCCAATATCTGAGTTTATGAAGCTTAGACGTTCCAGTTCTTGAACGACATCCCTACAGCATCAAAAGAGTTGCGGGTGACCATTAAAGGGTTAGTTCAACCAAAAAATGAAACATCATGGTTTCAAATATTACATACTCATGCATTCATGTATCAATGCCTATCAAATATGATAAACTGAAGCTCAAATGTGCTTGTCTGATGCTCAAGAACCAATGACATTTGTTCTCTTTCTTCAAGTATGTTTGATCTTACATTTACCATGTTTAATGTGCATTGATCAATGTGAATTAAAGCTTATTTAAAAAGTTAATTAGTGTAAAGTGAAGTAAAGTGAATTAAATGTGACCCTGGAGCACAAAAGCAGTCTTAAGTCGCTGGGGTATATTTGTAGCAATAGCCAAACATACATTGTAGTGGTCAAAATTATAGATTTTTCTTTTATGCCAAAAATCGTTAGGATATTAAGTAAAGATCATGTTCCAAGAAGATATTTTGTAAATTTCCTATTGTAAATATATCAAAACTTAATTTTTGATTAGTAATATGCATTGCTAAGAACTTCATTTGGACAACTTTAAAGGCGATTTTCTCAATATTTGGATTTTTTTGCACCCTCAGATTCCAGATTTTCAAATAGTTGTATCATAACAAACCATACATCAATTTTGAAAAATTTACACTTAAGACTGGTTTTGTGATCCAGGATCACATATTATATTTTATATATGAATTATAGCTTATAACTTATAGATTGTGTCTCTTGGATTAAACCATAACTATGGATAACTTCCACAATGTCTTCATTCATTTTTTTAAAGCATCAAAGTTTTGGTTGCATGGACTTTCATTACTAATATCTTTTGTGTTTCGACACTTTTATCGATATAATCACATTTTTTTCCATTTTCACAATACTGCCAGTACTACAATCAATATTTTATTTACTTCTTTATTTATGTGTGCATCATTCAAATAATTGTTCAGTGAGGAAGAAGTTTGCCTAAATAAGTGCAAACTTTCACAAATATTGGAATTTCTCAGTGCAGTCGTTTCTACAAGGCAAAGAGAAGTGAATCACACAAGTATGTCTTTATGTATATAAAAAGTCAAAATATGAAACCATGTCTTTATCAGCTGACTTCCTTCTCCTTCACTCTACACTCAATACAAAGCCTAAAAACTGTCCTGTTGAGTTTAACTTCACAAGAAATGTGAGTCAGGAGGCCTCAAAGAGCTGAGTGTCACTTGACTATGCCCATAGATTGAGGAGCCGATTACTAAACCATATGATTCATCTAATCCTACAGGCTTGTCACAATCCTCACAGAGACTCCCTGACATGTCTCTTTCTGTTTCCAAACAGGTGACAGGTTGCTCATTTGGAAATACTTCTGAGGTTAAAATGATTTTGAAGCATGAACCAACATCAGTTGACTCGGTTAGTAACCAAACCAAATGTTTTCGGAAAGAGTGGATGTATATTATAATCACATAAGGCTCATGAATGACACTTGTTCCCACTGTTATTCTATGCATCCAAGATTCAAGGGAACAGTAACATTATGTGACATGATTAGCTGAAAGGCAGAAGTTGGTTGTTGGGGGCTAGCTGTATTACATGAGTGTTCAAATGTTTGGGGTCAGTAGGATTTTTAAAAATGTTTTAAAAAGAAGTCTCTTATGTTCAACAAGGTTGCATTTATTTGATCAAAAATACAGTAAAACAGTAAAACTGTGGAATACATTTTTACAATTTAAAATAATTGTTTCTATTGAATAAGTGTAATTTATTTCTGTGATGCAAAGCTGTATTTTCAGCATCAGTATTATTAACAGTTATTAAGATTATTAACAGTGTTTATTTGGGGGGGGGAACCAACATACTGACCCCAAACTTTTGAATAGTAGTGTATATTTTAAGATTAAATATAAAGTATTTCTTTATATTCTCTTTATATAACCTTTCAAATACAAATATTAAAATTTAAAAAAGTAATTTTACATGGCTGGCTAAATTTTTTGGTGGGGTGAATTTAATCATTTGTTTTTAAGTGTTTATAATGGTTGCCGTGTCCCTTAAAGGGGTCATGAACTGAGAAATCAAATTTCTGTGCTTTTGCATATGAGAGACGCAGGAGAAATAAAGCGTGCTTTTCATAGCTAGGCTAATAAAACGTAATTTTGTGGGGAAAACATGGAAAAAGTTTGTCCTTTTTATGCTATTATTTATTAGCTATATTTATTTGCTTATTCAATATGTATTTGGGTTTTGGTTCTTCTGCTGTTTTCCAGATTATAAATCACATTTTTTTATATCATCTGAAACATGCTGCGATTTATATTCCAAAGCAACTTATATAAAGCAATCGACGTCAAGTGCAAAGCGCGCACATTTGGATTGTTGCATTTCCCACACACCACTAGTTTCTGTTTCGCTTTAAATAAATTTGTTTAGGCTTGGCATTTATAATAAATATTGTTTATAGTGAACGAGACTATAATTTCTGGTTGTGTTATACTTGTATTTTGTCTTCCTTCTCTTCTGAATGCTACTAAATGTAAAGGATTTGTTGTGGAGTGAGGGGAACAAAAATACATGTTCATAATGTTTGTACAATATACATTATACATATATATCAATCGACTTATATATGCTCATTAAAAAACACAAGTTAGAGATGGTACAAGTACACACACAGTACAGTAGTAACTACATGTCAATTTATAGATAGATATATATATATATATATATATATCTCAAACTGCTTCATTTGTCATGCATATGTGGTCCTCGAATCAAAAAGTTTGCCCACCCGTTCTAACCTATGACCCACCTGTGGGTGACGTTCTTCAATAGGCTCCAGAAGACGGGCTGAGGAAGGGCTCCTCGTGACCCTCCTTTGCGCGCGTGACTTCCATCAAATCGAATGAACTTGCTCTTGATTCCATGGATGAAGACCGCCTCCAAAGCACAACACAGCAGGTTAGCCTCCAGGTCCTCACTGGTGACCGCCGTGTCTGTGGTGATGTAACGCTTCTGCAGGACTTTTAGGGTCCGTGCGATCTTTTCCTTGATCCACTGAGGAGAACAGAGAGGTTAATATTGCTCTGTTATGCATCTGTTTTTTCCTGGACTAGATGTTAAAACAAAATAGCCAGGAGGGAAATACCAGGAAACACATGAAATCTATAGTTATCGATTTAATGATAAGAGGCTTTTTTGACCCAGTCAAAATCAATAATAAAAATGAAGGGTCTGTAATTTGCATTGATTTGCATCACCGGTGTAAGATCAGGTTACTGGAACCATTGTGACATCTAGGTCAGCAGACCAAATCATGAAAAGCTTTTGCTACAACAAAACAAAGATGTGGAGTAAGCATTGCGCAGCCTCTTGAGGATCTAAGACAAGAGGGTAGAACGGACATGTGAATATGAGCCATATCTACAGACAGACTGTCACCTGATATCAGCTGACTGACTACTACATATGAGCCAAAGCACTGACAGTCAAAACTGTGGAAACTCAACATAGCACCTTTGAGTCAAATGACATGAAAATAGTAGTCATGTTTCTGAGAGGAATGAAGCCACGATTACTAGAAAACTAGTTTGCCTTTAAGAGTCGGTCATAATAAGCACTTAGTCATGACGACTAGATGTATGAGGAAATTCTGGCTCAGATCAGATCTTGTTGCAAGTGTATAAACAGCAAAACACATACAAAATCTATCTGTATCTACCGCTTTAAAAAGACGATTTAGTTCTGAAACAATTACTTTCTATGTGTCAATATTAATATACAAAAACAGCTATTTCATATTCTGGGTTGCTGAAATTAAAAACTTGAAAGATCCCTTTTATATCCTATTTTAGATCCCTTTGTAAGACACCATCAAGTGTACAAATGTGGGTTCATATGCGATCATTTGTGGTGATCATACACACAAAACTTTAAATAAAAAAAACTTACCAATTTAGTATTATTATTTTAGTTGGAAAGGTATGCATCCTGAAAATGATATGAAGATTTGAATTTATATGTATTTTAAATTTTTTCATGAGTTTGAATGCTTGACTATACTTCAAGTAAATCATTGATTTATTAGATAAATTACTAATTATATCATTTTTATTTGTAAGCCATTGTGTTTCTATTTCTAAGCCATCATCATACATCATGTTTGGAAAATTGATGAGTTGTGTGCTTCTTCTGAAATTGATTTTTATATATTTATTTTTGTTAATTTGTTTTTATTTGATTAATTTTGGAAGATAAAAAAAAGTGTGTGTATGTATGTACGTATATGTATTAGGGCTGCACGATTATGACAAAAATCATAATTGTCGATTATTCCCTTGAAATTGTAATTGCGATTATTAATTACGATTATCATGATGATGTTTATACCATTGTTTGATGCAACTGCATGCCGTATTTTTATATGAAAATAAACAAGCTGAAAACACTAACTGAAAAACCTTTAGTGCTTTTCTATAGTATTAAAAGGGTCATATGATGCTATTTTAAAGATCATTATTTTGTGTATTTGGTGTAACAGAATATGTTGACATGCAAAAAACAAAATTTTTTTCAAATACTGTACATTATTGTAGGTCCTCTATGCCCCGCCTCTCTCAAACGCGTCGTTTTCAACAAAGCCCCTCCTTTGACAAGCGCAGTCTGCTCTGATTGGCCAGCTGACCCAGTGCATTGTGATTGGCCGAACACCGCAAGCACACGTCGGAAATGTAACGCCCCTTACCATAATCGCGAGTGCCAACTTTCAAAGTAAATATCAAGACAGTTAATAATGTCGTTAGTTTTACCATCAGTTCAAGCCCGAAAGGGCTGAACGTCCATAAAATGCGTTGCACAAATTCGAACATCTGGGTTGTGCTGTTCTGTTGTAAATAAATCTTAACCAATGATTCCTAATTGCATCTACTTCCAGCATGCTAAATAAAGTGCTTTTGCTTTCGCACTGAAACACACAGCGTCTCCCTGACATGGCTGCATCAACCTTACTGCTGTTCCTGAAACCTCGCCTTCTTTCTTTGCGTGCACATTTGGGCGGCATTATGCTAATATTTCCACATAGTGAGGTAGACATGTGGGGGCGTGTTAGAACTGGGGGTTTTAGGAGGGCGTGGTTGACTCTTAACTTTTATAAAGAATATCTCTTTGGATTTGAGACTTTAGTCTTTGCAACTTTACAGATCTTCTTTACGCACCAAGAGCTTGTAACACTCCAAAGAGAAAGGAAAACTTGAAATCGCATCATATGACCCCTTTAAGCTTCAAATGTCAACTATACATCGGATTGGTTTCTTCTTTAAATTATAAAAAAAGTAAAAATATGAATGCTATTATAATGTTATACTAAAACTAAAATTAAAACAATGGAAAAACCCTTGCGATAACATGTAGAAAGAAAAAAACGCATCTTAAGCACGCAGAATAACATAAGTGGACTTTGAACGATTAATTGCCGCTTTGAACGATTACGTAATTTTTGCATCCATAATTGTAATCGCGATTAGAAATTCGATTAATTGTGCAGCCCAAATACGTATATTTTGTATGATAAAAAGGCCAAGAATATGTATAAGAATATATGTTTACATATATTTATATTTATACATGTTAGTGTGTATATTTTTGTATATGTTGCATTGCTGGTGTTAGTTTTGTTATCGAAACTTGTTTGAAATTCAGAGCTAACAAAACAGTTGCTCAGGTGAATATAAAGCACAAAAAATTTATCTAATATCCGTCAGAACATTGAGACTGTCCATTAAGCCTGGCAGTGTTAATATAGCTGTTGAATTTGAACAGTTTTGTTAAATCCCTCATCTTGCTTTAGCTATGCATTTCTGTATGTGAACTGAATACAAAGTACTACTGAACTGCGGTTAATAGCAAAGGTCTAAGGCAAATAAAGAGGAAATGCTTATCTCTTGAGCAGACACTTCTCTCATGAAGGCAATACTTGCCTGGTTTCCATTCTGTGTGCGGTCTGACTTCTACAAGACAACACGCAAACTGTAGCTTCTTATAAACTTGTTTTAATAAACTGTATTAGAGCAGATAGAAATGGTGCTTACATGCAAATGACATGAGCTGTGATAAAAGAAAGCATTTTAACATTTATCAAATGACATGCATCATCTTTTTTCAGCACCTGGGAATCCAGGTTCCCACAAATTGCATTACCTCTACCAAGAACCTGCTCAACGGGTTTCAAGAGATAAGACAGGTTTCCTATCAAGGACCTTGTAATGTCCACAATTCAAATAATCTTCAAAAAGATGAGGAAGTTACAAACCTGTTTTCCATCTTTTGCCTCTGGGCCGCTCTCAGGTGTTTGGGTGGCCAACATGGCTCCTCTAGCTTCAATTAGTCCCACTTCACACACTGCAAAACACACACAGACAAACAACTATAGGGGAGATTGTAACTTTTTTTTTTTGTCCGTCACACGTAGTCAGTGTGACCCAAACTTTATAATATTCCCATTATGCGTTCATCTAAAAATGTATGTGGTTTCAAAATGTTATCGGAGTAAATCTAAATATTTGATTCTGAATCTGAGTAAATGAATGGTAGAAAGAGTTGTTGTTACAACCTACCACACCATCACATGGGATGTAACACAAAAAATGTAGCCTATATATATATTTGTACATATTGGTAACATTTTCACCAGAAGCAAACATAGAAATACATTAAACTCTAAAAACATGTATGTGTTAGTCACTCTTTTATTTTGTGCCATATTTGCGAATTCAGTAACAGTACAATGGAAAGTGTTACAACCCTCTGTGTTCGCTCAGCTATTATGTTTTTTTTAACATGTGGATGAAACACTTTATGTATACTTTTTATATTAAACATAACAATCTTCCGATTTAAATGACACCAGCTCTGCATTCTCAGCTCATTTATGATACTGATTTCACCTGAAGATCATTTTTAAGTTGTTAAACTGATGGCGTTATGACTCCCTAAACATGTTTATATAATCTTATAATAAAAGAGGTTAGATGCTAGCTTATAAAACACAATGAAGAGAAGAAGATTAGTATGTTTAATATACTGGCAGTCTTTGTTAGGTAGCAAATAGTGGAAGTGATACACACATCCCTGGCAGTTTCCTCGCGTCAATGAAGAACAAATGTATGCCGACATGTTCGTTTTACTTCAAAATGCATCCTGAGTCAATGAAGACGGGTCACCCTTGTGAAAAAGAAGTGCACTTAATTGTATTGAATGTGCACTTGTAGTGTACTTCAAATCTGTTCTAACAGATAATATAGTATTGAGGAAATAAAAGGCCACTTAAGTGTACTTAAAGACAAGTGTACTTAACTTGTTTCTTAAAACACTTAAGTACACTTCTAAAAAGTGCCCTTTGTAATGTTTAAAAGTTAAACAAATTAAAAGTTTTACTTTAAAGTACATTTTAAATCATTATGTTTTAATAATCGTTTGTCGGGATTTAAAGAATTACACGTTTTTTTTATGTGATGACTAACACACTAAGGTTTTTTTTTTAATGTTACGTGTAGTGCGTTATAAAATATTACACGTTTCAATAGAAATTACATTCAAGCACATTTTAGTTGACCATAAATGCCTGTCTGTACACTTAAAGCATATTTCAAAGACAACATATGTAATTATAAATTTACATATATAGATATACTTATTAAACTCTTAAGTTGAACTGCTTTGATATGCATATAAACTATAATATATTTTGGTCAAGTTGCAAATAACATGCTGTTAAATGTCAGAAAACGTTACATTCAGTTCGTACTTAAGTAAACTTTATTAAAGTATATTAAGTACATTTTTAAGTATGCTAAAGTGTGCTTCTTTTAAAAAAGATAAGCGTTTTTGCTGTAAAACAGTTTGTCCCGGGTTGGAGGCATCTAACCCTCTTTAAAATATTTGACCTTTGTGTTATAACAGCTAAATTAGCAAATGTTAATTAACAACACATGGGCTGTTGTATCATGCTAAACTCAGCCTAAATGTGCTACGATTTAAAAGTGAATCCACATTGTTCTTAAAGGGGGCGTCTTCCTCTATCTTTACCTTTTTTAACATTTGTTTAGCCCACGGTATTACAGATTATTTGTGTAATAATCGTAATATAACACTTGATGTGCATTCGGTGATGAAACGATGGTGTGTCGTCACAGCTTGCTTTGTTACGTCACTCGCTTTCGATTTCACTCTCTCAGGAATTTCTTTACTGTAAGAGTCAGAGTCTGTCCTCTCGTCTTCTTTAAACCATCGAACGTAAATACATGTATAAACAAAGAAACAAACAAATAATAATAATACCCCCAGAAATGACTGAAATGAAGTAATAAACAAAATATGCACGTTAAAACGATATATATATTTGCAAGATAGCCTACACGATTGCTTGTTTGACAACATGTTTTACTTAACAATTTATTTATTTGAAGGCAACTTTTTATTAACTCTATTTTTACATTTTATTTTTCTCTATTTTACTATTTGGCCTTGAGGTGTTGACTCTGTATTTATTCTATTATAATGCATTTCTGTTTGTTATTTTTGTTTTGTACATATAGCCTAATGAGAGCTCACTGTAGGAGAATTCCAGGCTAGCACACATTCCCACACTAACACAAAAGCGCTTGCGTAACTGTGGTTTACCTATACATCGCTCAGGTGTGCGCTGCTTACAACTGGAAAGTGAAAAGGGTGCAATCCCCGAAATGCGCGCATATAAACAGAATGGAGGAGACGAGACGAGATCATACACCAGCAAAGAACAAGCAGAGATCCAGCATTAAAACATTCTCATCAGCTCATCAGACTTCTGTAGACACTCAGCACGACAGAATGGACCTTGGTTTGGTGCAGCTCTGCCTCCTCCTTCTCTCAGCGTGCGGCTTCAGCTCTGTGCTCAGCTGCAGATGGATAAAACACAAGTTTCAGCACCACCATGGAGTCTCTTTGGATCTGATCAGAAAGATGGTGAGTTTTACAGGCTTTCTAAACTTCCATGGAATATATCTAAGTTTTATTGGAATTATTATTATTATTATTATTAATTAATTGAGAGACTAAGTGGAATATTTGTACTTAAGTTTTTTATTAAATACACTGTAAAAAAAATCCGTAAAATTTACGGTAAAAAACCGGCAGCTGTGGTTACCGGAATTTTACCGTAAAAAATACGGTAGCAACGTTTTACGTTTTTAACTAAATTTACAGTTAAATACCGTAATTTAATTTGATATAATGTTAATATACCAACCTATTGAAGTACTGAAATCTGTTTTGTACCTTTGTAATACACTGATAACCACTAAATGCAGTTGGTGATGAGAAAGTCACGCGATGAACCAAAGCCCATCACAAGCAGCTTTTAAATAATAACATATATAGAAGGTGCACACAGTGTCATTCACACAAACACTAAACACCATCATAGTAACTCACATGAAACTGAAATGATGCAATAAACATTCATTTAACAACATTAGGTGTAACACACAACCCTAATATACAAAACTGATAAGAAAAAACTAAGAAGAAACATAGTTATTTCAACAAAAAAACATAACATTTTTAATGTAACGCAGGGAATTCTGGGAATGTCAATTTACAGTTATTCATTGTAAATTATACGGTAATTTTCACTTCCAAAAATGGTATGCTACCGTAAAATTGATGTCCAATACATGTAATGTCCAGTACAGTTTTTCACCGTATATAGTAGGGGAATTTACCGTTAACCATTTAACAGGCTTTTACTGTAGCATTTTTACAGTCTTTTACCGTTAAATTCACGGTCATTTTTTACAGTGTATATATATATATGTCATGTTAATTGCAAAAATGCTAACGTTTATCAACCCTATATATTTGCATGAATTTCTAAGGTCTATAAATTATCAACATGATCAAAACATTGCTGAAAAACATGTTGTACACTATTTACTACATGCCTTCTGTAGTCTACTCTACACTCTAAAAAATGCTGGGTTAAATACAACCCAGTGCTGGGTAAAATAGGGACAAACCCAGCAATTGGGTTGTTTTGACCCAGCGGTTGGGTTACTACCCAGAAGGATGGGTTAAACATTTAACCCAACCGCTGGGTCAAAACTACTGGGTTTGTCCCTATTTTACCCAGCACTGGGTTGTATTCAACCCAGCATTTTTTAGAGTGTATAATTGTAAAAATGTCCACCTTCAGGTTGTGGTTTTTGTTTCTTTTTGCTTTGAAATCTTTACTGATTTTACTGAAGTTTTATATCGTTAGTAATATTTCAAGATGAACATTTTCCTGGACTGAAGCAACTTAAATTTACTTGGTTATCCAGATATCAATGTTAAAATATTAATATCAAATATGATCATCAGGTTTTTGAGGAACATTTATTTATTCATCTCTCAATCATCATTGTATTGAATTTTGAAACTACTAGACTTTCATAATAAAGCTAAGCATTTACAGTAAATATAATCTTAATAAGACATATTATTGGGAGATATAGAGTGATAACTGATATACTTTCTCTTATAAATTCATATAATATAAATATAGATTTAACCAAAAAATGTCAACTATAACCACATGCAGTTGCAATAGCTAACCGTTCTGTTCAAAATGATCTCTTCATTAAATCTGTTTCGGAATATTTCATAGGGTGAGAAAATCCATAATGACCATGAGGATGTCAACCCTATCCCATATGAACTAATCAATAACCACAGAAGAGCAGAGGTTAGTCTAAATTACTATTATTATTATTTTTAAAAGACACAATAATCTGTGCTGTTGATTATGAATCTATATTCATATATAAGTATATACATATTTTTTGTTCTTCTCAGCCTGAGAAACAGATCCTGTTCGTCATTCAGGCTCTGATGGAGATCACTGTCCTCTTTGAGGATGCCGCCGTCCCCTGGGATGCTAAAAAACGGGAAGATTTCTTAAATGTCATGCATGAGGAGATTGATGGACTGCGCTCATGTGTAAGTACACTGTAAATATACACACACACACACACACACACACACACACACACACACACACACACACAAACACACTCACGCACACACAAACACACACACACACGCGTGCACACACACACACGCATACACTCACACACACACACACACACATACACACACACACACACTCACATTCGCGCACACGCACACACACACACACACACACACAAACAAACACACACACACACACTCACACACGCAC